TCGTCGTTGAAGCAACCCATGATTCTTCGAGGGTTTAACCTCGTTCGCGCCACCTGCCTCGCAAGATGGTCTAACATATGATGCTTTGGTCGTAACTTGAAAAGCATCCACTGGTTCAGCTCACACCTGTGACTCAGATGTTGCCACGCAATCAAATGAAGGCGCCAGCAACCACTAAGTTCCTGGAGGGCAGATTGCATACCGATGACAGCCACCTCTTCATGTACATGTTGCTGCGTCAAAACTGTTCAGGAGGAAACACGGTTTTGACCCAAGAAACTGTTGCATCTTGTTCTCCCATCAAGAGGTCTGAGTGGTCCATGATGCAAACTGCAGCAAAGAAGTTCCACACACAGACTGCGATCAAGCGGAGGAAACTCTCCTAAGAAAAGAATGGTGGAGAGAACCGGAGAGGAGCAGAACTGTAGACAGGAAGCGGCTGGCAAAACAAAAAGTACTGACGCAATCAATCCTTTGAAGCATCATTTGGGTTCTTCTCCGCTATCTCAACAGCAAGGGAGGCAACATACCAGGAAGAACTCTTTATGAAGGCTGCCTTGAACACCGTGCCCAACTCTGGGAACTGTGACTCCTTATCGAGCCCTGTGTTGGAAGGTGTAAATGCTTTGAAGGAAACTCGGACCCTTAGACAGACCCATACCTTCCCTCCCCAACCACAAAAACTCTTCAACGAAAAAGGTACACAAACTTTTTGGAACCACAAAGCTTTGGGAACTTATAGGGCAAGAAACTTCTGTTGGCAGCATTTGCATTTCAAGTCCGAGGATACCCTTTTGAGTTTCTCTGCCAAAGAACCGGGCCCCTCGTACAAGAACCCACCTCGTATCCAGTAAGCCAGCGCGCTTGCAAACAAATCCCTGGATGTGCCAAGGCAAAAGGACATGCATAGGGTCATGAAAGCAACTGCCCAAGTGCCACCCTTCCACCCGTGTCCACGGGCTGATGATCCGCTCTTGCCGGTATTGGGCATCACCTGAGCCAAATGTGGAAAGTTTTTGATTGTTGAGGGATGTTGGGAACTCCAAGGGGTGTTGAGTGTGCTTGGAAACAACTGAGGGCTTCTCTGATACAAGTCATCGTGTGGGCTGCGTCCGAGTAAAAGTTCTTATAGCTCAGACGTGGTTCGCAGGTTGGTCGGGTCTTTTGAGCAAGGCAACATTCGCAGACCAGGTTGTGTAAATACGACCTCTGAAAATTGTTGCTCTCCTTTCTGGCTTTGGAGTCATACCGATACCCAAAATATGCCGCCCGCCACCCCCCTGCTAACACCTGTCCAGCCAAAGCCGCACGGAATCCTGACATGGCTTCTCCGAAAGGTCCACGTGTGGGCCATGTTCCTGTGGAGGCGCAGCGGAGGGACCATGCAACGATGTCGGCCACCTTCTCATGAACATTCTCCTTAACATCTTGTAGGAGGAGGTGTGGTATGCAAACAAGAGGGAACTTCACATCCCATATTTGGCCCTGACTGAAGATTGACGCCATCGACCAAACCAAGTACTCGCTATTGCTGTAGATTTCAGCACCGTCAACATGCAGCACAAGTGGTATCAAACCTGAAGCTGTTGCATTCACAGAATCCTTTACATGTTTCAACCCTATTTCATCCTATTTCATTACCCTCAAAAAAGACCAAAAACATCCAAAAGTAAAGACAGCACTGGAACGGTCTTTGGGGATCGCAGGCCGACGCAAACAAGGATGGTCCCGCCACTCGTCCAACTTGATGCAATGGTTCCAGAAGGCTTCTATGGATGAAGGGCTCTGAAACCCAGTCATAGATCTCTGGAACTGCAGGGGTCCATCATAACAATCTTTCACAACAAGTGTTTATCAAACAGAAACAGCTTTGGAGTTTGAGGTTGGAGATGAGGAAGAACATATTGAACATAAGTTTTGAACCGTTTTCAGACTCGTGCACACCTGGACTTCCCCGGCTCGCCACAAAGCATCAATAACTTCGTGCGGCAGCAGGACTGGAACTTGTATTTCGGTCAGATCATCCTTGTCGGGAACCTAGGATTGGAAGGGTGCTCTTTTAGTCTTTGGAACGGGACATGGTGCACACCTGCTTGCCAAACTAAGAAGCCTTCAAAAGAAATGGCACTTTGTATGCTTCTAATTTGCAGCCATGTAGTTGGTGAAGCCACCGGTGCAAATCTCGCTCTTGGTTGCTTTGGTGTTTTCCATTTCCTCCTAAAGACATTAAACCTGCCAAAGCTTCAGCAGTAGATCCATCAGCGACGTTTGCCCTGCTTATGTCGCATATCTCAGCCACAGAAGCACGCCCTGACCCAATCATACCTCAGAATTGGAACCCACTCTGCACTAAGTGGACCAAATGTGAATCCAAAAGAAACAAAAGGTTTGTTCACACATCCTTCACGAATTGTAGTAAAAAAGCTGTTTGGAGCGTGGCACGAAGATAAATGTTTGCACTCTCGCAGTGCGGCATGGATTCATAGCGTTTGCTCCTGCAAAAGGAAAGGACGATACCCACATGTCCCAACCGCATCAGACTGTTTGCCCAGGCCTCGGCCTTTTGGCAGAGCTTTCTGCACCGCCTGCGCGGAGACCAAGCAGACAGAAGACGAGGGACAGCTCTTGAAAAGAGGTACCCAAAAGCAGGCTCCATTTTCAAGTCGTGGCAGTGCTCCAGGCGCAAACCCCATCACGCAATCAAGTAAGTTCACCAATACAATAATACATGTGTGTTTAAAGTTCATGTATATATGTGTGTAGATATACAGACGATTATAGAAGTCTTTACTTACACGTACAAAACCCTGATTGCGTATCCCATCGCAGCAAGCTATCACTGCCTGGAGACTCTGACACACTTCTGCTGGGCGATGAAAGGAGGTGAACAATTTTGATTAGGGAAAACTCTCAAACACGGTGATTGATGGTTCATTGGACGCCCTTGAACGACTGGCAGAAGCTGTGATGCTCTAGGATTTTGCACCCGAGCCATTCTTGCTCGAATCAGGCGTCTTCTTGTCCTTCTTCTTCTTTTTGGGCTGCTGCGGCTTCAAGAGCCCTTTGGCAGCGACCTGAACAGAGGACTGCAATGGTGCGGTTTGTTGATGTTTGTTGGACAGTTGGCTTGGGCGTTCAAAAGACTGGAAGTGGAAAGATTACAAGACCTCGAATTAAGTAGACTGGGTTTATAGAATGACCTTGTTGCAACATTTTTCAGTTAAGATTTCCCAGATTCCCAGCCTCAGCTTTCTCATACCAAGCGATCTTGTCGACAATAAGCTGGAAGTGTTTCGCGTACTTCTCTTCCTCGCTCACCTTTCTCGCAGTCAGGTCTTGTAGGAGCTTGTAGACAGCTTCCATTTTGGAACTGAAAGTTCATGAGTTGGGTCGATAGGTCCCCACCATAGCCGGTGCCACCCAGAGAGATGGCGTGCTTGCGAGCATCTGCTGCCTTTTTCAGGCATGAGTCCATGTGGTCTTGAGCTTGTTCAATCACTGTCTTCGGTTCCATCTTCTCAACCTCCTTGTCCCTCTTTGGTTTGGGCTTTGGTGCGGCAGAGACACTGGAGCCAGTCAGAGCTTCAGTCATGGCTTTCTGGCCAGCCTCACTCCCTGTCTGCACAGCCGCGCATGAGCCAGCAGCCAGCAACCCCCTTCTCCTGTCAAAGCCTCGACCACTTCCTTGCTGTCTTCCCTCCCCTTGACCTTAGTGATGTCTCTGAAGATGGACTCATCGCTCATCACATTGTCTTCGGAGGCATAGTAGAAGATCTCCTCTTCGTCGCCCTCAAAGTCAGGGTCATAGTGCCACATCCCTTTCTCCTTCAACTTCTTCATGAGCAGGTCGGCCTTCTCTTTTGGGTATTTCTTGTAGAGATCCCTGGCCTTTGTCCCACTTCTAGATTTTTTTGAAGAAGACTTGCGCTCTGCGCGCCTCTCGAACTCCACCTCAACCCTCTCCCACTTCTCACCACATGACAGCCAGGCTCGGAAGACATCCAATTTGTCTTTCACAAAATGCGCTGCGAGAGACACTGGGAATTTTTTTGCGGTCCAAGCATTGGCGAGAGAATCGGTCATACTCAACCTTGTGGGAAACACTGTTGGCTTTTGAGAAATCTTCTTCTCCCTTCACCACAGCGTCTTTGAGCTTCTCGGCATTGGGCTTCTCTTCTTCTTTCTTCTTCTTGTCCTTGACTCCCTTTTGGGTCTCATCTTCGTCAGCATCATCGAGGAGCTTGGTGAAGTCCTTTTCAACGGCAGCTTCCTCCTGCGCTTCTTCTTCTTCTTCAGAATCATCTTCGCCCTCATCACCATCCTCCCCCTCCTCCTCCTCCGATGACACTTCTTCTTCTTCTTCACTGTCCACGCTCCCATCAGGCCCATCAGATTCAGAAGCGTCTTCTGAAAGACTTGACATCTCATCTTCTCCATCACCTTCATCTTCCTCTTCATCACCCTCCCCTGGCTTCTTAACATCCTCGCCCTTTTTGCCCTTTGGGCGTTCCACTTCCTCCTCTTCATCATCCGTAGGAGGCGCAGGGTGTTCAGTGGCAAGCTGCTGCATGCGAGCATCTACTTGAGCCTCCAGACACTTTGCGCTCATCTCCTCCATGAATTCCTCAACCGACATACCCCTGTCCGCAGCCAGTTGCTTGAAGTTCTCCAAGCTCTGCGCTGATGAAGGGGTTGGCGACGGATCTGGTGTTGAACGAGAGCACGTAGGAGGCGGTGTCTCCATTGGCGACTTGAACCTGACCCTTTTCTCAGGAGCACCTGGGGCAATTGGCTCAACCTTCTTCTGCTTCTGCTTGAGCGCGCTTTTGCGAACCTCCTTCACACCAGCTTCTTTGACCTTCTTTCGCTCTTCCTTCTTTCGTTCTTCCTTCTTACTCTCCTTCTTGGATTCCTTCTTCTTTTCTTTTGGCTCACACTTTGCCTTCTTTTCTTTGCCCTCTTTCTTCACCTTCTCAGCTGGTCGCTTCAAGCCCGACGCTTTTGCTTTTGGTTCCTTTGATTTGCTGGCGAGCTTCACGGCTTTCTCTTTCTCTTTGTCTTTCTTGTTTTTGCTTTGCTTGGCAAGCTTCTTTGCATCAGCCAAGGGTTTGGCCATCGTATCAGGTACACGGGTATGGCGGCGTACCAAAAAGATAACAGACAGCTGAGCAAAATCTGCTGATAACATGGATGGGAAATACATACCGTGGCTGATCCTTTATGTCGTGGCTGATTTCTCACATCGTGGCTGACCCATCAACAAACTCAAAGACCAGTCGACAGAATAGAGAATGAGGGAGGGAAGGTTCAGAATTATTTCTCTTCTCAAACTAGTCATATTTCATGGGATCTACCACTCGCGGCTTTTCTACACATACCGCGGCTTTTTCTCAACATACCGCGGCTGACTCAAAACGCATTTCAGTTTGTTTTGCGCAAAAAGTCTTGAGCATAAGTGGATCTGGCCTTTCAACACGTGCTTCAGGACGAATCTTCCCATTGGTCACCTGGCCAAGCGGTGGATGGCGAGGAAGGCAATTCTTGGGGAGGGATTGGAGAGGGGTTTGATGGAAGCTGCTTGCGGTGGCTGGGACAGATCTCAATCAGACCACTTCGGGATAAAAACAGGGTTCGGAGATCGACGATTGAAAGCTTTTCAACTTCTATGCGCACAAGTTCAATCTTCCGCACGGCATTGTAGAACCTCTTCAACCCACAACGTCGTACGAATTCACGGCTTGATTTCACTATGTGATCATGCCAGGAAATCAAAAATTTGATCTAATTTGGCATGCTTAGACCACCTTGCATCTGCCCGGGTATTTCGGCGGATAGTGCGGTAGGTCATCAAGTTTCTCTTCAAAGCGACTCTTGCTTCAGAACGGATCCTTGCAGCATGACGATTCCGGACCGCTGACAGGGCCTTTCCAAACCTTGGCGATGGCACGGCGGCGGTGTCGCGTGCGCCCAAGCTCATGATCATGAATATTGTTACAGTTACGAGAGATTCGCCTGTTGACATGTGAACAAATCACTTTGCAGATAGCTCACTTTGCAAAGCTGTCTGGAGTAAACTTATAGTTCCTTCACACCGAAAGACATCAAGTGTCACATCCAAGAAGCCCCAAAGGGTAGGCTTGTGAGGCTTTTAGATGGCGACCGCCCTTCACTCTCGTGACGCCTCGCCCATCCTGATACACCACAGCCATCTCCACCGCCTCCCGCGGTGGCAGCCACCGAGGCCTGAAGTCATCAACGTCTTCCACAATGTCGTGGCCTCATGCGCAAACGGTGCAAAGAGTGTTTTCCACCGGCTTTTGATGGGCCACTATCACAAAATATCGCAAAGAAAGTCTTGTTGAGTTTTACCATCCATGAAACTGGAATAGAGCCATGTAGGTTTCTCACTGTTTGCACCGTATTGGCCCATCCGTATGGTGTGTTTCCATACAGCGATCTTCCCCATCAACTCCTGAAACAGTGGGTGAAGCTCCATCACTGACCCCTTCGGTTGCACCACGACCCACATACAACCAAGGGCATGAGCGATCATCAGGATGACCAAAGTACGGCTCAATAGAAGGTTGCCAAGAGCGACACTAGGGTAGGATTCCTCCCCCAATGGCCGCGTCGCTGACCTCTTGGTTGTTCCTCTTGACCTTGGACTGGAGGCCCCACCAACTGGTTGATTGACCCTGGCCCCAAAAATTTAATCACCCAGAAGAGGACTGTCTATAACGTCACTGAACCAGTTGAAGTGGGAAGACAGGACAGATTGCTAAACATTCGAGATGGCAAAAAAACGAAGCTGCTGCAAACAGGTGCAGCAAGCCATCCAGAACCCGGCTTGAGCCGGCATGTGTGGTAGAGCGCTGCGAGGAATCCCTCATTCGTAGTTAAATCCATTGTGGGGCCGCCAATTTCCAAGTCCATGGCGATTGCAGCTCGTCCCTCCTTTGGGGTTGAAGACTGCAATGGGCAACCCCATATTTTTTGCAAAAAGGAGGGGTTGCTTGTGTGTCTTCTGAACCTCTCGCGTGGCGTTTTTTTTTAAACCCGTCAATGGGAAAACCATCTTCAATGCGTTTGCCCAGATGTGCACATGTGATTTCCCCAACCTGCATCTCCGCTCGCGTCACCGCACACTGCCCCGCAAAAAGCTCCACATGTTGGAGTTCGTGGCTCTTGTTGATCTCCAGGTCTGGAAGCCCGAAGACCATGTTCACCAGCACGGCAACGATCTCAGCAAGAGTTCAGGCGGCATGCGCGCGCATATATAATGAAACTTTCGGGGTGGTTCGCTTGACATGGCCCCACACTTTGTCAATGTCCCCATGAAAATCTGGCCCCGCCAAGCCCCTGTCGATTGTGGCGTTGATCATGCGGAGGGGCCAAAGCAGAAAAGAGGACTTGGGAGCAGACCCTTTTGATGTTCGGAAGATGTGGATCATCCCCCACACATGTTTCCAATCCAATCAAGGGTCCGCTGGAGCCCGCATCATGCGAAGGCCAGCCACGATGGACCTCCTCTTCACCTCACGATAGGTCCTTTGATCAGCTTCAGGCACGGATGGGGTCTGCAATCTCGAGCACTTGAAGACATGTCTTTTGTCCGGAAGAGTGCCCTTGCCCATGTTGAACAGTCGAGTCGAGCACAGTTCTCGAAACAGGGGCTTCCAAAAAGGCTTGAGCTTAGAGCAAATAGTAAATAGAATGTCTGCTCTTTGGCGAAGCAAACGTGTGGTTGAAGTACCGTTTAAGATCGTTTAGGACTATTGAAAACCAAAGAAGGCCGATGTAGTTGAAGCTTTCCATTTGTCACGGGTGTGTTCGCTGACGTATCCTATGGTTCCATAGCATACCTTGAAAGAGATGCTTTGCATCCACCAAAACCCTCAACAGGCAGCATTGGCTTCAATGCTGCGATCCCCTTTAGCCCCACAGGCATCAAACAGATGGGTTCAATGCGCGGTCTGTGTCTAAATACAAGCACTAAACACCCGTGAAGGTCCAAAAACTTCTTCGAATCTACAGAGCAACATGGGCATCCCTATGGGACGACACCAGCCCGCGTGCACGCAGTGATCCACGCGTTGTGTGGGCCATCAAATTTAGACCAAGTGATTTGCCCCTTGTTGGGGCCACGTACGTAGTACGCACACTTGTTGAGGAGCACTTCAATCTTGGCTGCACCTTTCACCACGGTGTACGAATGCTTTCCTTGGTGGCGGCGCGCTGGGTCAGGCCTGGCGTTCACCGGCAAGTGGTCCAAGTTGTAGCCGTTGTATTCCGAGGCCTGCTGGGACACGATGTGGAGACGTTGAAGGGACAATGGAACCCGGGCAATGGCAACCTGTTCTTGGGACACAAACTATCTAAAGCTTTTTTGTATGTACAACCTATGACCTATGACATGAAGTAAAAATTGTGGTATTCCCAGCCTTGTGGGAACCAGGAGGCCCAACGGGACATGGCTTCGAAGCCTTCGCCTTCCTTGCGACGAAAGGATGCTTTTGCCACCTTCTTAACCTTTGGCTTTGAAGACTTGCGCTCCCGCTTCTCACGCTGCACCTCACTCCATGACTTTACACACACACCCCGAAGCTCGACCAACAAAAGTAAGTAGCTATAGGCTCACAATTCTAAGACATGTTTAAAATATCATCAGGGCACTTGTTGACCAACCACAGGGGGGATTGCTCCCAGAAAGCCCAAGCTCAGTCTCACCCATCCAGGTTGGCTTGTCAATGACAGGCAGCTTGACAGAATCTAAACATAGTTGTGAAAGGCGAGTTGGTTTGTCATCACTCTCAAGCCCCACCATGCCCATATAGCGCAAGAAGTTTGCATGTTCATTATTGCCCTTGGTTTTTGATCAAGTGGGTACAAAATGAAAACTTATGGAGAAACACATTTGTAAGCCCTGCCAAGATACTTCAACTGGTTTCTCCTCTGGCTTGGACTTCTTCGCAGTACTGCCATTCTCATACATAGCGGGCCGCTTGCGGTTGGCTTCCGGTGTCTGAAAGCAAGCTGGACAATTCAGGAGATTGCACCGGCTGCCCATCCCCCAACGCGCACAATCAGCACTGCGCGGACCCCATGCAGGGGGTCCAGAAGAGCCATCGCTGCCAGCAGCAGCGGCACCACCATCCTCAGCACCAGGAGACGAACTCTCCTCTGTCACCTCCTCATCTCCTGACTCAGCCTCCGAAGCACTTGTGTCATCAGCAGCTTCTGCAGGTTCTGGAGCTGGATGCTTGTCAGCCTCACTGTCAGCCTCGCTCTCAGCCTCGCTATCAGCCTCATTGTCAGACTCAACGTCAGACAAGGCTGCCACACCTTGACCCAAGACAAGACTAGTTGCATCATCATCGCCCGCTTCATCACTTTCGCCCGATGAATCCTCCTCAGCCGGTTCATCTACATTGGGATCAGCTGGATCATCACGCATAGCCTCATCAGGCTGCACCCCCAAACAAACTTTCCAATGTTACACAAATTTCATGAGACCTCTAAACATGAAAGACAATTAATTTTGGGCCCCATTCAAGCCTCCTCAACATCGGCATCCTGTAGCGGTTCAGCTCTGCGTAGTTGGCCGGCTTCGCGGCGAGCCTCATCTTCTTATGTTCGTTTGATTCAGTGAACTTGTCTATTTTCTAGGGCGATTGAACCACCTTTGGCTCACAGCTGATAGTACACAAAAAAGAAAAGCTTAAAGCACGACTGCGCAAAGAGACGATCGAAACTGGCGAAAGAGATAGCAAACTTTTGAGCTCTGTGACCTTGCTGTTGTGGCTCTCCGCACCTTACGACTCCGATTCGCACTGAAAGAAAAACGATAGAAAACGCACACATTAAACAAAAGGGCGACGTAAAATGACAGATGCCATCCACAATCAAGGGACTGTTTCGATAGAGATATCTCAAGGCCCCTATGAGCTTCTTGCAGCGAGCTGCCTCTTTGCCTGCCTGCGAAGCCTTTGTCTCGTTATCCTTGCACAGGAGTCTGCCACCGAAGAGCAAGTCTAACCGGAGACAAATGTCTGTTAGCAGCACTGCTCCAGGGACATGGTCAGTAAAGGTTTCAACCAAGGGCTTCAAGAAGACATAGTTTATGGCGATCTCCTCTCAGTGAACACGTGATGCGGTGCACTTGCATGCCATGAGTGTCACTTGCAACAATAAGTCTAGAAGAAAGCTAGCCATGTTTCATCACGAAAGAACACAAAGTCCATTTTTCATCGGGTCACATTTCCCCCCTCCTTGAACGATGGTCTGTGGGCGTCACTTGCAACCTGGACAAGATCCGCACCGGGGAAGGCACCCTGCCGCACGAGCTCCACGGCCCGGTCAGGCATGCATTGAAGCATGCGACGCGCCACTCGATCCTGAGGCGGGCTTGGGAAAACACATGCTTCTAGAGGGGATGAATGCATGCATGGTTCTTGAGTGGGCGGCGGGCTGTAAAATAAAACCTTGCAAGTGTTGCAATCCAGCTTCAACAGATGCCTCATTCCAGGACACTTTGCCAGGGCCTTCAGCCATTGATATTGGAGTGGGTTGTGCCAAAGACTTCACTAATTGATTTGGAACAAAATGATATATCATCCAAAGTAGAATATATGAAAGGACACTTATGGTTATGTTGTCCACTTACAGCCAAGTTCTAAGAATCATTGAAAAAGAAAAAGTGCAGAAAAAAAGCAAAAAAGAGCAAAACCAAAAAGCAGAAAGAAAAACTGTCTGGATAAGAAGTGCAGAAACAAAGCAGAAAAAAAGCAAACAAAAGTGCAAAAAAAGCAAACAAAAAAGGAACAAAAAAAGCAAACAAAAAAGGGAAAAAAAAACAAACAAAAAAACAAACAAAAAAGCAATGTTTCACCCACTTTTCCACCACTTTTTTTGTGGCTCTGGAATTTGTTCTCCCACTTTTTCCCCACTTTTTTGTGGCTCTGGAAATGCCAAAACTTTGCACTTTCCTCGAAAAAAAGCAAAAAAAGTGCGAAAAAAGCGCAAAAAAGTGCAAAAAAAAGTGCAAAAACAAGTGCAAAAACAGTGCAAAAAAAGTGCAAAAAAGAAGCGTGCCCAATTTGCCTCCAAAAAAAATGCTCTTTTTTGCGTTTTTGTTTGCTTTTTTTTTGCTCTTTTTTTTGCTCTTTTTTTGCTTTTCTTGAACGTTGCTATTTTGTGTTTGCTTTTCATGCACGCACTTTTTCTGCACTTTTTTTGCACTTTTTTTGTTTCCCATACTCCCATAGAAGTTGGCTAACTGGCCAACATAAACTTATGGAATCAAAGTGGCGCACAGACTTCCAATTGCCATTCTCCCTGCCCATTGCACGGTCAAACTCTACCATCGCCATGGCTTTGCACACGGTTCGTAAGAAGTGACTGCGAGCACTCGCATGGCAGAGCCGAATCTCGGATAAAATCTAGAACAGGTTATGATTGTGAGAAGTGGTGTCTATTGCTATTTGGGGGTCAGCGCCATCATTTTGACATGCTCCCCTCCTGTCCAACTCACAAAACTTCACAACAAATTGGACGCTACTGTTTGCCCCACTTCAATGACACGAGTGCGCCCTCTGGCGTTGCAGCGCGCAACCGCCGTCAAACGCGATTCGGGCCATGAGTCGGACGCGAAAAAGAAGCGATGCATCGACCGAACGCACCGACACGATCCAAACAACTCACCCAAATCTTCCACAGAACTTGATGCTTGGACACGTTGGCGGGTTTGTCAGCTCATGGGTAGTGGACTACCTCTTTCAAAATGAAACTTTCTAAACAACGAACAGTACGCATGCGCAGTGACCACTGCAGCACCAGCCCCTCCAGGGTTCATGCACTACCCTAAACAACTATTATATATCGTGCGTGTGTGTGTGTGTTGTTTTTCTTTTTTAAACAGGATAGTGTGGAACAACCTGTGTTCTGTGTTTTGGAAGTTCGTGTCCGCGCACAGTTTTGTGTTTTGTTTTTTTAAGCGACGTCACAGCGCTTTGAACACACCGATTGTTCATTGCGGTGAACACATCTTGCACTTAGCTTGCAAAAGCTTGCCTTTAGACCAGCTCAACCCTACGGAAGCATTTGCAACACACGGAAGCAGGAAGCATAAAGCTATGAAGGTTCAAAACGCTGTCCACAGGACAGCTTTGGAGCCTTACGGTATGTTGTCGATCGTGCTTTCGGGCCGGGCCGTGGCAGGAAA